AAGCATATTCTCCTCGAGGATTTCCACGTCTGCACGATCTCCACGAATTCCGAGTGAAATACGCGCATCTTCCGAGGCAGACCGTTCTGGTCAACAGCAGGCCGATGATGCAATGGAGCGACTTTTTGAGCTACAAATCGAAGTATTTTCAATGACTTCGAACTTTGACATTGCAACAGGGTGGCTTGTTATAAAAGCATTGCAACGGCTCTCGTGCATGATCGATGCAGGGCCCGATAAAGAGCAAGCCCCAAGACAATCTTCCCAGAGCCAGCCTGCCCTGAGACCCGTCCTGGACCTCCAGGTCCGCGAATTCTCGGTCAAGTTTATAGAGCATGTAGCCGGGTATCCCTATCCTGATAATTCTGGCACGTTTTTACCACATTCGCATCATCCGTCAATGGAAGATATCGTCCTTCAAGCTACGGCATCCGGTTTGAGAGTTAATGCATCAGCGAACGATCAAAAATCGAGCCTGAAACTCAATGTTGGAAAGTTCGCTTTCGGATTTGCCTCTCAGGACCTGGTGTCCTTCGACGAGTCTTTGAAAATGCGCGAGTCCACTCGCGATATTATGGCACCCTCTCAAGCAGATGTCTCACTCTCGTTGACCAAATATGCAGACGTTACGCGGGTTGAGCTGTCGACCCTTCCACTCCATATTAACATGAACATTCAGAATCTGGAGGAAGTACTGGGCTGGATGGGCGGGTTGAGTACAATTTTGGAACTCGGAAGCTCAATTTCATCAACTCCTACAATGAAGGCGGCACATAAGTATCCAAAAAAGCGTGCAAGGGGCGTGCATTTCGAAACGCCTGGGCCGGCTCCACAAAAGGCCGAGTCTGTGTCTGCCCCATGGAAAGTGAACGCTCGGCTCGGTGGAATTATCCTTGATGTTGTCGGAGAGACACATTCCCTAAAGCTGAGCACGACGGCAGTCAAGGTTGTAAGCAGGTTCGAAGGCCTCGGCATTGGAATTGATCGGGCTGAGCTGAGAGGGCCGATTCGGCTTGACGGGACCCGTGATGCTCCTGCAAATGTCGTTTTGGATAGCATCAGGGTTGAGTTCCTGTCAGCACCGAAGGAAAACGACCTTGGTCGCCTTTTGACTTTGATCACCCCATCTAAAAACAAGTACGATGACGACGACGACATTTTGCTCGACACACTCTTGCGCCAGCGTAAACAGGGCTCTGTTCTTCGTCTCGCAGTTAAGCGCATGAAGGCGACGATTTCAAATATCGAGGACCTCGCCTCACTCTCATCCCTTGGACAAGAAATGGGACGACTGTCCAACGTCACAAAATATCTGCCTGAAGATGATCGCCCCGGTATTTTGACTCTAACTATGGTTCGCGAACTTGAAGTTCAAGTCTATGTTGGCGGAGAAGTCGGCGACTTGAACGCGTACCTCACGGATGCCGAGATCGCCTGGATCAGTATGCCCTCACTCACTGCAACCCAGGTCGGGACCATCAAAGTTCTTCGAAACAATCAAGAAGAGCTGGTCGGCGAATCCTTAGTGCCCGGCAACGATCAAAGCGTGGACGATTCCCGGGCACCCGTTCTCATGGCTCGATTCATTCCCGATGAGATGGACCCCACTTTCAAAGTCAAACTGCACCATCTAAGAGTTGAATATACGATCCCATCGGTCATGGCCTTCCTTGGACTAGGTCGAGATACGACAGGTCGCGACCTGGCTGGCCAAATGGCGAGTTCTATTGCCAATCTTGCAGAGAATTCGCCCCTGACAATGGAAGATTCAGTCTTCTACCAGCCGCAACCGAATGCTTCGCGAGCATCAAAACCAATCAAACTCGCGGTCGTGTTTATGGACTCTGTTCTAGGTCTGAACCCGCGCAATTCGCCATCTAAAGGGCTCATAGTGCTCACGAATGCCAAATTCACCGGCGCCCTCCACACCGATGAATCCTCAGATGCTAATCTGGAGATCGGGAAGGCATCTATCATGATCATAGACGACGTGACCAACGTCGGAACTGCGGAAAATCTACATCAGCGTGCATCGACTTCTCCCCAGAGCAAGCAGGTCCAGGGATACATTAACCAGGGCTATGTTCCTGTTTCTTCTATCTCCTCCGCAATGGCGGTTGTGAAGATCATGAAGCTCGATGAAGACGGTACTAAGTCTCTAGACGTGGAATTGAGAGATGATCTTTTGATCTTGGAAACATGTGCGGACTCGACACAAACACTCATCAGCATTTTGAATGGACTCCAGCCTCCGACACCACCAAGCATCACTAAAAAGTATCAGACCGAAGTCACGCCACTTCAAGACATGCTAGCCTCTTTCTCGGGCAACGCCTTCGCCACCGATCCTGCAATGCCTATCTATGACAGTGCCGAGTCAGAAGCCCATCTTGAGGGTATCATAGAGGAGGATCAGCTCAGCGATGAACTCGAATATGTCAGCGATTTCTACCCTGGAGGGCAGACTGGGTCCGGTAGCGATGATGCAGAATTCGTCGGCGCGCCCCACGACAACAATCTTCTTGGCAGTTTCCACTCCCAGTACCATGTCTCTTCTAGTCTCTCGGAACTAAACTTCCAAGAAGACCATTTTGCAAAACAATCCGCCGTTGGCGGCACGGCACACCGCTGGGACTCCACTCATAATACTTATGGTCTTTCGAACGATACTAAGCTCCAGCGCAGCCCTCTACGGGTGCGCGTACGAGACATGCATGTCATCTGGAATCTGTTCGATGGCTACGACTGGCAACGGACACGAGACACCATCTCCAAGGCCGTGAAGGAGGTCGAAAGCAAAGCAATCGAGCGACGGGCACGCGCTTCTCGCATGTCACCATCTGCTACGGAAGATGAGGAGTCTGTCATTGGTGACTTTCTCTTCAATTCGATCTACATTGGGATCCCAGCCAACAAGGACCCGCGGGAGCTCCAGCGTGAGATTGATCGTGAAATCAATGATCTCAACAGTGAGACAGATAGCTATGCCACAACCACTACAGTGACCGCCACAACCAGCCGACAGGGCAGATCAATGCCTCGAAGGGAGAAGAGAGGGCCACGCCTTTATCGCAGCAAGGCCCATAAGATGAGCTTCGAGCTACGGGGAGTCTGCGCTGATTTGGTGGTATTCCCGCAAGATTCAGATGAGACCCAGAGCTCCTTGGATGTGCGCGTGAGAGACTTGGAGATCTACGACCATGTGCCAACGTCGACGTGGAGAAAGTTCGCGACGTATATGCACGAAGCCGGCGAACGGGAGAGTGGAACCAGCATGATCCATCTTGAAATTCTTACTGTCAAACCATTGCCCGAACTCGCCGCATCTGAGATCGTCCTCAAAGTAAGTTATACTCCATGATAATATTGTCTCTTCTTGAATCCCGTGAATTAACATCATTTAGGCTACTGTTCTACCTATCCGCCTTCATGTTGACCAGGATGCCTTGGAATTCATGAGTCGGTTTTTCGAGTTCCGAGATGAGTCCATCGAGGAGGCCAGTACGCCGGGGGACGTTCCTTTCTTGCAGCGTGTTGAAGTGAATTCTGTCCAAGTTAAGCTAGATTTCAAGCCTAAGAGGGTTGATTATGCTGGACTTCGATCCGGCCGTACGACAGAGTTCATGAACTTTTTCGTACTTGACAACGCTAACATGGTTCTGCGCCATGTCATCATCTATGGTGTCTCTGGATTTGACCGTCTCGGCAATACCCTCAATGACATCTGGATGCCGGATGTGAAACGAAATCAGCTTCCCGGAGTACTGGCAGGGTTGGCCCCCATTCGATCTCTGGTCAATGTCGGAGGCGGCGTTAAGGACCTGGTGGTTATCCCCATGCGCGAGTACCAGAAGGACGGGCGGATTGTGCGCAGCATCCAGAAAGGTGCTTTGGCCTTCGCCAAGACCACTTCTAACGAACTTGTCAAGCTCGGTGCAAAGCTAGCCATCGGCACACAGACAGTCCTTCAAGGTGCGGAGGATTTGCTGACGGCTCCAAATGCCACTTCTGCCGGCTCGGAGGAGAACCGCGATGACGAAGATGAAGCGAAGAAAATTTCCCTCTATGCCGATCAACCGATTGGAGTCGTCCAGGGTCTACGGGGCGCTTTCCGTGGCCTTGAACGCGATCTCCTCCTAGCACGGGACGCCATTGTCGCCGTGCCTGGGGAGGTTGTTGAAAGTGGTAGTGCAACGGCAGCCGCCAGAGCCGTTTGGAAACGCGCTCCGACAGTAGTCCTCCGGCCAGCAATTGGGGTTTCCAAAGCTGTGGGACGTACACTGTTGGGTGCTGGCAACAGCCTCGACCCGAGCAACCGGCGCAAGATGGAAGATGTAAGTGCACAGAAAACATTCAGTTTCAAATATCTCAAGAACCTTACTAACGATGCTCACAGAAATATAAACTCTACTGAGCTTTTAGCTTGCTGATCTATATGCAACCGCTACCGCGGGACAGGCTCTGTTCCCTTCCCCTCCCTCTCTCTCTCTTGTTTCTGTCTCGCTCGTTTTTGAAATTTCTGCCTTTATCTTTCATGCGCCCGTAAATACATCTGAACGTTTTTGCTGCGATGATACCATCTCCCCTGGGAGCTTTCGGACACGAAGACGCATGTAAAAATTGCTATCCTCCCCATGCATGCATGAACTTGGGCGTCTTCGAACTTTCACTATGATTATGATTGTGATGATATTTTGGTTTCTTATTACTCTGGCGTTAAGCACATTTACTCTTGATTTTACTGCCTTGTGAGCGCCATAGATTGAATGCAATGTAGATTTGCTGATCCGTGTCTGTCAATGAGTATTAAACCTTCAAGTTGGAAGATGTCAAGCTTGAGCCATTCAAGTTCCTAGGTACTACAAGTGCAACTACATTGGACAACATGTTGCATCAGATAACAGAGTTCATTCCAATAGGCACTCTCAGGTATAATCCCAACGAATAGGCATATATTCAAGAACGCAACAAGCAAACTTCGCAAATACCTAGGTAACCATCTATCTGAACTCGACAGGAAGAGTGGTCAGCCGGCTCATCTCGGCGACTGTCTCCTCCCAGAGGTTCTTCTGTATATTCTGGCCCTTTCTTGAATCGATAAATGCCGCTTTGCTAAGAGGACAAGTAAGTTAGTCTTTAATCACAACGAAGTCACGACCAGAGAAAAAAGAAAGTGGAAATAACTCACTCGGCGATAGTCTTGTCCATCAAAAACTTGCCATGAGACTCGGGACCCATGACAAGTGCACCGTTTAATATGATCCAACCACCGACCTCAACGGACCTGGCACGGATCGACTTGATGACATTGACAATCAATCTTAAGTACAGCGGCAGAACGTCGCTCATGTTAGTATTAACCATGCCCGGGCACATCATGTTTAAGATGACCTTCTTAGAATCCAACCGCGGTGCCAAACTGTACATGAACAAGGCGCAGAGAAACTTAGAATCTCCATAACGCCTGAATGGCACAAAAGCCTCTTTTTTATCCATGTGGTCAATCACCCCCTCGCCAGATTTGAGAGGGTAATTCTTTTCGAAACTTGTGGTCTCATGCGCACGGCTGCCAACCCAGCTAATACGTGCAGGGGTGCCCGTCTTCTCTGCACCTGCCTCGAGATACGGTAGAAGCTCGGCAATGAGTAGAACATTGGAGTGGTAATTGACCTGTGTGGTTTTATCGTGGCCGATCGGGGTATGTTTCAACTCAAGTAGGCCGATTCCCGCATTGAGGATGAGAGTGTTGACGATGGGGATTTCCTCCCGGAGTCTTTTTGCGAATGACAGCACGCTAACGAAGAGCTCCATGTCCAGCTCCATGACCTTGATAGCTGCCTCGGGATTTTGCGCCTTGATCAAGGGGTCCTGACGGATCATAGTTGCACATGACTCGCCTTTGGCGACATTGCGGACAGCAAGAATCACAGTCGAGGCGCGAAGTAAAACTAGTTGTCGGGTCACTTCAAGACCCATTCCTGAGCTGGCACCTGTTACCACTATTGTTTGACCAGTCAAATCAATGCCTGTTGGCAAGGGGTCGACCTTTGGCTGGATGAAATTGACCATAATTAGAACTTGAATGGATGGGGAGGAGATCAAAAAGATTGAGGAGGCCGATAACAGCAACAATTACATTCGAAAAAAGAATGACTGAAAACTTGAATGACATAAATCGATAGCTTTTGCTTTTTCCCATTTTGTTTTGTAGAGCTCCCCCTGCAGTTCTTTGCTTGCTATGCTTAACAATTGTGGAGATTACCAATGCTTGTCCATGCGGCCGGGCTGACACAGCATCCGGCCGACGGTTGAATGCATGCAGTGTAATTGAAAGCGATGGTGTTTATTGGTTACTATTTATTTATTGCTGGAGATGATTACTTGAAATCTGATACTACATACATAGGTAGACTAGTTGAATCAGATACATCAGCCAAGACGAGGCTGAAAAGGCCCATCGGTCAGTCATTCAGGCTGGGCCTATTGATCGGACCGAAGCTAGGGCTAGATAAACTCATCTCTCAGCAATTTTCAACTAAACTAGTAGTAGCAGCTTGCTGGATTAGTCAGTGAGTTAAGAGGTTGGAGAAATGCCAATCCCTTCTATGGCAATTTGATTAAACTCGATATTTACTCGAAAATATGCAGAACCTTGGAAGGGGGCGAAAAATATGACTCGAAGGGTTGGAGGAACTAGATGATAGTACTACCTAGGTAGTAGTTACCTACTAGGAGCGCATATTTAGTTGCAGGGTAACCTCCAGGCTGATAATACCAAAGCCCTGGAGGTCTAGGTACTATGCCACAAGGCCATCACTACTAGTCGTATGCATGTTCTCCTGCTACTAACTAGATGAGAGGGCGAGAGAGTTAAATTGATTTACGCCCAGATGATGATGGAGCCAGCCGTTGTGACATTCTCAAGGTGATACTATCATATAAAGCAGCCTCTAACTATGGTACCTCTTCAGCAATCAAGCCTCCCAAGAAATGTTTTCCTCGGCCAAGAGCTAAACATACTAGTACACTGCATGGAGAACTCGACCGACTCGGAAGACCTCGTTCACCTGCGGTCGGAACAACCCAGAGATATGATGTATGCTTTAGTCGTAAGTATATATGATAGCCAGGAAACTAGCCATATCCAGCAAGGCACAAGACCTCATTTTGAAGAAGCAAAGAAAACCTGTTGCCCAATTGCCGATCCCGGAATGGCCCCCAGAATTCCCCGACATTGCCCCAGCCAGAGGCGTATACATATCATGAATCATGGATATCCAGGTACGAGGAGCAGAGTTTCGGCGACAGAGTAGAACCATGGGATCAATCGCACACAATTCCTTGAAAGAGAAAATGCCCTCAGGCCCAGGCCGACAAGATTCTGGCCATTCGGAGTAATTCGATTACTGAATATTACGAATGTTACATCACTATCCCTAGTTATTTTAAGGTTATTCAAACCGCCGGCTGTAAGCGGCCGTATGGAAAGTTCAGCATATGCATACTGCGATGTTCAATCACTACGGATTAGTTAGTAGTACGGAGTATATTGACAATATATCGACTGGAAATTGTTCAATTCCTTCAAATAGTAATTTAGCTAATTCAATAGTACTCTGTACTTTTCCAATGCTATGGCGTTGGTGACTGGTCGCCCGAGTGTGCACCTCCGATTCTCCGTACAGTCTCGGCTGACCAACCCAACGCGTGTAATTCCAATTCTTTCCTTTCCATTTCTCCCCATGTGAGCCCGGTGGGTCCAGGGCCCGTCTTAATGGGCCTTTACGATCGAGATTACGATCCGTTATGGAGTTCCGAATGCCGAGGAACGGAGCACTTACATACGCGTTGGGGCGAGATTTTCACACTCGCCACTATGTCTTTCCCTCTGGGTGACTGTCCGCCAATCAAGCCATTGATGGAGATTCGGTGCCCAAGTCATCGCCTTCGCTCAGCCCTGACGACTATCCCCTCGTTCTGCCCACCGACTGGTCGCCGCCAATCCCGGTGTGTGGATCATGTTCATGTCAAAGTGCGACTGGGGCGGATGATTGGCCGGGGTGGGACGGGAGGGTGTGCGACTAGGAGGACGCTAAGAGGGTCTCTACGATCAGCAGGATCAGGGAGAGGACCATCTGTAAGTCATTCTGCGATGCATCCAGTCACTCGGCACTCAGGCCCCAGGGCAACAGGGGAAGGGTGTGTGGGTTAGCCTTTTGGCACAACACACGCATGGTCAGACCGACATTTCACCCTTGTTCCGATGATTTCTTTTTCTTGCTGGGCTGCTTCTGCCCAAGGCTCGGTCGCTGCAGTGGGCGAGTGTGACGTCGACCATTTCCTACATAATCCCATTCTCTGCCCAGAATGAATTGCAGAATTGTAGAACCACCGGTTCGTCCGCCTGCGACCCAGTTGTTCCTGGCTCCAGCTGGGTTCCAGACCGCGTCGTCACTCTTAAGTGGAGATGTGGATATCCAGATCCAGATGAGAGAAGAAGACCCTCCGTCGGCTCCGACCCGTCCGCCTTAAAGGCCCTGCCCTTATAATTTCTTATATCTCCTGTGGCTGGCGATTGCATTATCTCGTACCTTGCTTCCTTGCATTGTTGTATTTTTATTTTGGTAAGTCAACGCTCTCGTGTCTTTCTTTTTTCATGTTTTGGTGGCAGTTGGTCCCTTGCAGTTCCCCCCCGCTCTGACGAATCAGATGTATAGACTCTGAGGCGTTTTGGATTGATCTCCCGATCTTCGTGTGCATTTGATATGTCAACACGCTAGTAGCGGGCCAACGAACCCCCCTCACAAACCCCCGCAAGAAAAGCCAATTGTGAAGAAGAAGCAAAGAAAAAAAAGAGATACAGAGAAGAAAAAAAAGCCAAAATGGTGGAGGATCTAGCTTACCGTGGCGTCGATTCAATCGGGGTTTATGATGATGGCGAGCTGCCGGACATCTCGCTTTGCTCCAAATGTCTAGAATGTCACCAGGTTTATGCACCATGCACTCCTTCCAAATCCCTTCCTGTTGATGCGGTATCACTTCCTGCTCGGTCAATCAAGTCGGGGATCACTGGTGCATTATCACTCCATGATTACCGAAAATATCTCTCGCAGTCCGCAGAGCCCGTCGACGATCTTGTCGATCGTTCAGAAAAAACGCTGAGACGAAAGACTGCAAATTCAAATTTGAATTGTCCAACGGTACTCACATCGCTCCCTTCATCCGCGGTCTCTGTTTGTTCGGTGGCATCTACTCCCCCACCACTATCGCCCTCTTATTCGCACAGCGTTATCTCGCAGCGAAGTGAGCAGGAGCCCGAGGTTTCAGAGCCTGCGACTGGTATGCTACCTCCTCATTTTAATTTTATGCAAGATGCAGAGCACTGACCTGTTTGCAGGTGGCTATCAACCCCAGGCTCCACGAGTTCATCTTGTCTCAGAGCACGCTACCCGTCCAAGACCAAACAGGAAGCGATTGGTGAGTGACCTGAAACATAGATAAACAAGACATCCCCCTCTGACCACCCTCTTCTAGAATACTTTCCGTGAAAAGCTTCAACGCGCCCAAACTCGGGCGCAGGCTCAACACCCGCCTCTGTCTCGCCCCCAAGCATCCGCCTCGATGCTGGCCAACACGCAGGCCGTCGCCACCATCTCCCATGGCGGGACATCCTTCGAGATTCTAAACCCACGGAGATCCCTGAGACGTCGCCCGGATCGTTTCTTTCATTGAGGATGTTGATGCTTGCTCCATTCTCTCGACTGACAACCACCGGAATTCCGAAATCTCGACCACTACGTTTTCTCCAGATCAAACATTTGATCGGACATCGCTCTCTCAGTTCACGGATGCTTCACTACCATCTCATTACTCTTCGCACTCTCTTTATACCTCTTTACCTGCAAGCCACTCAACGCCCAAGATGCAAACCACAGATATCCCCTCATCGTCACCCGGAGTGCACGATCGAGTCCGCTCGCTCTCCGATTACTCTCTCCGCGAGCATAACTACTGGTCCCAGAACCAGCAACACCACGCCGAGCAACATCACTTTGGAAGCTATCCTGATATTGATGAGGCAGATCAAGATGAATGCCACGATTTCTCCAGTTCTCCACGACCCCCATCCTCTTCTCAGCCTACCTTCTACTCCGAAGAAAGCGAGATCGGAGAGCCCGGATCTCCTGTCTACGCAAACGGAGAATGGGCCCAGGTCGACGAGCGTGACCGCGGTATCTTCTACGACCTGCCTCAGGATTCTTCTTATGAGCTCCCAACACCTTCCGATCTACCCTCACCTACCGATCTCCCCGCCCCATACAACACCTACTATGCCAACACAATGAATCATAACCAACACTATGACCCCTACGATCCAATCTTCGACCCCCATGTCCAATCCGTGCTGGCCGCGGCCAACGCAGAGACCATGGGCCTCCGCGGGCACCCTGCTCGCGCGCTAGACGACTTGCAGCGGAGGTTCCATAGCTCACTCTCTCTTGGCGGCGAGGACCGCAAGAACGAGGAGCGAAAGTCATTTTCCCAGCGAAACAAGCTTCGAAAGCTTTTTAGTTGGCGGTCTGGGGCCTGATGGTGACACGCACGTGCATAATGAACCTTTGGAAGAGCTGGACTATCTTGATAAGGATGGATATGATTGATGATGGATGGTGTATTTTTATTCTCTTTTATTCTTCTCTTCAGACTTGTCCTTTTATACCACTTACTGGAACTTCCTATTTTTTTTCCAGCAGGCTGGGTCCGAGACTTGGGCCATTCAATACCAAATTTTACTTCCCATCATCCACTTGACTTCCATTTTCTCACTTCAAGTTGTCCGATGAATTTGTAAGAGCAAATCATCCTCTTTCAAGGTTGATGTATGATTGTGACAGCAGTCGCTCACTACTGGCAGTACCTAGGTGCTACTAGCAGGCGTGTCGTTTAGCGGGCGTGTCGAAATGGGTTTCCATCCCAAGCCCCGTCACAGACTCGGACTTGCATCAGGATAGCCTCCAGGCTCCGAGTCATCACAACCTTCTTGCAATTGACAACCTTGGAACTTGAAAGAAGACCACCAGTAGCCCCGGGGTTAAGTAGGCCCGTATATAATTCCGACCGGGTATCTAAAATGGCATTCAAATCTATATATAATCATCAACCATTCCCATGCTCAAAAGTCATACAACAAAAGATCCCAAGACATACAGGCGGAGACACCTTTAGTTAGGGAGTTCCCCATCCGCATTCTTTTTAATCCCATTCCTCTTCCTCCAAGCCCAAACCCCGCGATCAACCTCATCAAGCTTCATCCCATCCCTCACTAAACAAAACGTAACCCCAAGCTCCGTCTCAACATTCCGATTCCGCGCCTCATCATCAAAGAAAAGCATATCTTCATAAGCAACCCCACTCGTCTGCTGAATGCGCGAAAAGTGCTGTGTCTTGTTCGCCGGGAAGATCTGGATGAAATCAAAATATTCGAGCGCGCGACTCGTCTTCGTATTCGCCGCGGGGTTATCCGAGAACGAAGGGATGATGTGAAGTGCTTTTAGCATGTCGCGGGCTAGATCGGGGTCCTGGGTTCGCGAGGCGACGGCCAGAGGGATCGCGCGACTCTGACAGGCCTGGATAATTGAGGAGACGGCGGGGTAGAAGGCGAAGGCTTCGCCCCATCTGTGATACGGGCGGTTGAGTTAGATCGGGCTCGGATCAAGGGGGGAGGGGGGGGGGGCAATTGGATGATACCGATCCACGACGCGTGAATTGTTGTCGCGGGGTTTTACGGGCCCGCTGACGTGTGTGTCGACCCAGAAGGGCCAGAGTGTATAGTCCAAATCGAAGGCGATCAGTTTAGGGAGGGGCAGGCCGTCGGTGAAAGTTGCGGGGGTCACGGAGGAGTCCTCGAGGGAGTGGGTGTTTTGGCGTTTGGTGCGGAGCATGGCAAAGGGTTCAACGAATGGAAGTCTCGGGCGGTGCGGTAGTAAAGATCGTGATACTGATTACCCAGGTAAGTGAGTGAGTGGGTAGTATATGGAATGAAATGGTGGGCAAGTTAAGTTCAAGATGAAGTTCAAGTTCATGCAGGGCGAGAGAGACTTGAAGGCTCCACCGCGGGGAAACGCTTCTCCACTGCCATTAACTATACTAGTGTAGTATAGTTGCCTCACGAATAACTATACCAACATGGAAGTCGAACGGTGAAATTAAATTGCTAGATCAGAGTACATATTATATATGCATTGGGTTTCCTGCATAAACATGTACCTAGGTAGCAGATATTGGACTAGCATGGCGGTAGTTACCTAGCGACCATGACTTTGTCGTATTTGAGTACTAGTAGTAGTACTTCCACATGAATCGTTCAATTCAGATATGATATTTACTCTACTAACCAGCTTCTTGTTGGGATCCATTAAGCCACGTTGCTCCTCAGGGTGTATTGCACAGTTCATCATCGAGGCAATTGATTCCTGTTACGATATGAGGTCCACGCCAATAAAGAAAGAGCTTTGTTTGATGCTCAGCTTCAGCTGACTTCTTGTCTCATAGGAGGGGTATTTAAACAGTGAGCTAGTCAGATGGTGAGTCATATAACATCTATCCATGGATGTGACCCTACGAGGATCCTTTTTTAAATACTCAACAGCCCCATATTCGATTTCTACAATCTTAAATTTAAGCGTGTGATAACTCAGAAAGAATAAGTAGTATCTAGCTACGATTTGAAATAACTCTGTATGATCTTGCCACTCATTTACTTATATGTACTAGTAATATTTCTTGATTGATTACTTCTATGTTGGTTACTCACTTGCTGCACAATGGTAGCAAGATCTTTTGGCTGCGGCGACAGATGGAAAGTTCAATACCAAAATTATTGGTAGGTGTTGATACTGATCTCGCTGGGGCAATTATTTACTCTAATCCTAATGAAAGTAAGATTTTTTTCCAGAACTAATAGTCTCATTGGAGTTTTTCGATTCCCCCATTGGTTCAGCCAAGGTACAGGTCCGATGGCAAATCATGGTACATCTGGTAATCTAAATCAATGCTCCATTCCAAGAAAAAAAAATGACGAGAGCAATGTCAGTCATTGGGCTCAAGGTTGAAAAGTCAGAGGCAGAAACTGGTTTTCTCCAAAAGAGCGTTTCATCAAGATCCGTTACGTTTCCGTCCCATAGGACTGCCGCAATGCCTGTAACTACACGAACAGCATCCCCTGAGTTTCCCCTTCCTGCAAGAACAGCACCCGATGCCATATCTGCTATTTCACAACTGACAAATTGCGAGTCCCATCCTTTCGCGATGAGCTTTTCAGGCCGATTTGATACCGCAAGGCGTAAGGTAGTTGCTAGACGATTCCGGTAGTGATCCATCCTTCCAAGGCTTGCTTTGAATAAGTAACGAGGATATCACGTAGCCCCCAATGAATAGACCATGACAGTGATGACCACGGTAGTTTATCCAAAGCCTCATGAAGTATAGCCGATTCTTGACTACAGGTATGTAAGATGACATCATGTACACCATCTTTATTATCAGGCAGGCGAAGAATGTGAGTAGTTTCCAATGATTCCAAATCGCTTCTGATATCTCCTGGATTTATGAATAACTAGTCTACCTCATTCACTTTACCGCCAATCATATTGTAAAGATAACTGCCGCTATGTGCGCCACCGAAACCTTGAGGTGCATATTCTAGTCGCCGTGTCCCGGCTGATTTGCATCCTAGGAAGGCACACTTAAAGCCATTTGGTACTCCAGAATCAATCACACCGGTCAGCATTTGTAGGCACTTGTCAGGTCTTTGCTCGAATATTGCCGGGTAGACGTCTTTTGAGGAGAAATGTGAATCGTTTGCAGAAAAGAACACACATGCGCGGTCTCCGATCGGAACATTCTATCCACCATTGCCCGCAATATGACGCGTAAGCAGCACGATGACCGGAGGCACTGCTCTTACGAAATATCTGACGCACATTTGTTAGGCAGAGCAATGCCAAGAGAATACGCATGATATCAAGGTGCAAATCGTCAATTTATGCTTCACGAGAGGATATAGAGGGATATCATATCAAGTCTCATTTGGGACGAGGTCAAATTGCTCGTCGGTGATCACCGCAATATTTTTATCTTCGCTCTTCTCAGGGATTGCAATACCTTCCAAAGGTTTTAAACGACGACTATCCTTCCCGGATATCGGATGGATCACCGCTAGCAGAATAGACTATGTGGGTTGCCCGGCTGAACGTGTCAGTGGCAGATGGCTTAGATGAACTCTTTTTTTTACCACATAACCCGGTTGACAGGTCTGCACTGATAACTGGCCCGACAAGAGACGACTTCGTAAATCGATAGTATGGGAATTTAGGTTGTCGATGCCTAGGTGCCCAATGCCCCCCAGGAAATGAAATGGGCCTGCTTGATCAATGGCCGTGCCGAATTGAGTAGCGATGAAACCACGACCCAAGATTGTAGTCGCCAAGTACAGCCCCGTAGCGACAGTTGATGAAAAATCCATTGTGAGTTAAGTGTAATGTCCAGAATTTACTGATTGCCACACTGTGAATCGATTTGGATAAAATGTAGCAGCCGTGCCGTGGAAAGAAGATGGGAATCTGGTGATTTGCGCAAGATGGAGTTTTCAGGGATTCGAAAGAAATGGGCAGGTATCTTTGGTGCCCAGGTGTGTTGGGCGAAGCAAAGGAATAACTTGAAAGGAAACAGCCAACCTATTTTTAGGGTGACCTGTACGCTGGCGAAGATTTATTCTCTCATCGTAGGTGGATATGGATTAAGTAGTTCGACATACAGATAGCCTCGAGGAGAACGCATCGGAAACAACTTGAAGTACCGGCGCACGGCACGGCACCTCTCACCGAACGTCGGAGTATCTGGGAAGAGCAATGAAAGATAAATGGAATTGCGATATTCAATTTGAAAAGAGGACGAGGAACTTGATCGCTCTACTATGTGCTCTGCAGTGATTTTTAGTTATTCTGAGGTTCTTGAAATGGATTCTGACTAATCATGAGCGAACCGATGTTGAACTCCTAGTCTCACCGCCCAGATTTAACCGTCAATATCTCACCGCCCACTCGGAACCCCCACATTGCTTCAAGCACGTCAGCGCTTCAGACACTCCGGGCCATCTTCTTCCGTTTGTTTTCGTTCCTTGTAACTGCTAAAAACATGGCTTCCGGCGTGCCTGAATTAGGGGGATCCAAAGGTATAAATACCTAAACAATTCTACAAAAGGCTTCCCATGATAGGAATTAACTTGATATCTTTTAGTCTGGAGCACTCTGATAACAAAAACCACGTATTTGTCTGGCCTGTTGACTCTCGATTACTCGCTTAAAAAGGCTGGATCGAAGTATCCTCTCCTTGTTCTTTACACAGATTCATTCCCTGCAGAGGGACACAACGCTCTGGACTCGAGGAAAATAGCGAAACGGCGTGTACCATATCTTCTCCCAACGACCTCGAAAGATTACACCAACGATGCGCGATTCAACGACTGTTGGACCAAGCTCACATCTTTTTCTCTTACCGAATATGATCGCGTTGTTCAGCTTGACAGTGACATGCTGGTCCTTCAAAATATGGATGAGTTAATGGATATTCCTCTGGATGCGCCAAGCAAGAATGGAACAGGTGACCGAGTGTTTGCCGCTAGCCACGCATGTCTCTGCAATCCGCTTAATAAACCTCATTATCCTAGAGACTGGTAAGCCTGATGGTGTTGTCCGAAGCAAGAACCTTGGTACCAACTACTCGTTTGGCAAATCGCTAATTCAGCACTTTGTGAAAGGGTTCCCGCGAATTGTGCCTTTTCAACTCAGCATGACAATCCAGACATTGCGCAAACAGTTCAACCTCCAGCCACCGCAGGATTAGGAGAGCTCAATAGTGGCTTGCTAGTGATTAATCCATCGCAAGGGATTTATCACAAAATCCTAGAACAGCTTGCCTCCCCTGCAGCATCGGAATATGATTTCCCTGACCAATCCCTCCTCGGCGATGTCTTTAAGGGTCAATGGGTTGCGCTGCCGTACATATACAATGCGCTCAAAACACTACGATGGAAAGGAGTTCATGACACTATATGGCGCGACGATAATGTGAAAAATGTACACTATATCCTCAGCCCGAAACCGTGGGATGAATTGGCAGATGGACAAGATCACGATCACGATCCCTCCCATGCCTGGTGGAAGTCATTGAATGCTGAAAGACTAGCAGAAGAACAACAGAGTGGCCTCGCAGACGGTTTTTAAGCTAGTTTGACGAACTCCAAAATCTTGCACTACCCTGCCATGAATAGTATGTGAATGATTCATGATCAAAGGCCACCACAAAAGCCCACCTTGGAACCATAAAATCCTTATAACTACCCCGTGTATTTTCAGTTTTGCCAGAAAAAGAGGCGTCATTCCCTAATTGTCTACTAAATATTCCTTCACATATTCTTGAGCAAGAAGAAGCTTCAAGTCGATGACTACCTCACATCCTTTATATGCTGCATGCGACGATGGCGTTCGTCCATCAGAATCCCTTGGGTTCGGGTCAACCCCGGCCGTGGCGAGCAAGAGCTTGACGACTCATGTCCTTTCTTTGCTGCCAAAGAAAGAGCTGTCCTCCCGAGGTAGTTTTTAGTATCTGGACTATCATCCAAGGCATGACGTTCTCCACTGCGAGGCCTAAATTGGGTCTAACATTCCAGTTCTGCTGGGATGAGTCGGCGTCGAATAGAGCCCTGGAGTGCTGAAAGACTAGTACTAGTAGGTAATCGATCGGTCTCTGGGTCAAGGTGCATTTATTTCTGTGTTGGACCTCGGGAGACAAACGAAAACTTGAAAAATGATTCAAAAAGATGTTTTCAATATCATTAATAGTAGTCATGTAATGATACCTAAGCATAATGCCTGGAATCCTTACTATATTAAAATATTCTATACACCATAGAGGAAGCATAACTTTGAACCCACGTACCATCCATCATCCCCTCTGAATACCCCCCTATAATATAGCAAACATTCTTAAATCCGAAATACCGTTCCGAGTTTGCGTTTCAATAAAAATTGACAATATTCTTGTACTCCTCGTACAGCATCCGATCAATATCCTGCCAACTACCGCCGGAGTCCTCATCATTTCTATTGACTGTCGAGCAGAAATTGGCTGGCACGGACAGTATCTCATGGAGTGTATCTATGAGGGGATACTGATCGAGCTTTGATTGCTCCAGATCTTCATGGGTCATGTCCGAGACTCTTTCCTTTCCGTTAGATAAGCGAGCCCTGTTATCAGGAGACGTTAACAGCGGTACAGTAGTAGCGGTGCTTTTCATGGCTGCAGGCGAAGTGAAAATTCCTCGAGTGGAGTCCGACAGAGTACCGTCCCACCTATCGATCGTTCCATGTTGTGATGAGGGGTAAGGTAAATTTGTCCTAGCCTCTGAGCTTCCCATTGCTGGAGATGCCAGCTGACGAGTGGCTTCCACTTTGCTTGATACACCAGAGTCCGAAAGAGATAGAACGGAAGGATCGATGCACATTTGCTCAGCTTCCCTGGGCTGCGGTAAGCCCACCATTGGAGATCCGGGCCGCAAAAGGCAGGAGTCGACAGTCTCTAGAAAGGTTGACGGAGATGGCAGATCACTGAATCCATCGTCCCCATAATCACTAGACAGGATTCTGGAAGGACTTTTGGGTCGCACTCTCCCTAACTTGGGAATGTTGCATTTCCCTCCTTGCTTGTAGTTGATCTGGGTCTGTTTCGTTTTCTTCTTTCTTGGAAGGCCTGAGGACCCAGTTCCTGATTCCGACAGCTGACTAGTCTTTCTTTTGGCAGTTTGTTTTGTTTTTGTCGGCATTTTGTCATTAGATTTCTTCTTCTCGCCCATGCTTGCCGATAAAGTCAACTGGCTAAGACCGTGAGCTTTGAGGTTGGCAGTAGTCTTGCATTTCCCAGGCTTAGGGGGCTTTTCAAGACCATCGCGACAACAGAAGTGCTTGCAACTATGACAATTAGCATTCCTGAAACATTTTCAAGGGCTTCATCCTCAATCACATGCTTACCTTGTTTTATTCTTGCATTTGTGGTTGCATGCCCAGTTCCCGTTAGCGAGTCGAACCGGCTCGTAGTCTTCATACTGCGGTCCCGTGTCTGCTGCCCACTCCTCGTCTTTGTTCCGGGATATATTCGCAGTAATAGCAGGTGGACTGGGGGTACCATCAATCAAAATCCACTCGACGTCATCATTAGGATGATTCGTTGCCATTTCCACTTCTTTCGGTTGCTTCTCGAATGAGCCAGCTTCTAGAAAGTCATCCAGATCTAAGTCATCGCCCTCGAAATTATCCTTTCGATGACCCGTCTTGGGTTTGTGTTGTCTTTGAGAGCCATCTGGGTCATCAATTGAGTTTGAATTTCTGGCCTCGGGAAGCTGCGAGTTTTTGGACACAAGACTTTTGTCGTTTGGTCGTGACAAGAAGGACGGAATGTCTGGCTTGACCTCGGCTCGTCTCGCTGTACCCGCTAGTGGAAAGTTAATATGGGGTTTGATTCAGCTTCGAGGGGTCCAATACCTATATCATCGCACATAGCATGGCTGATAATGAATTGACCCGGAGTGTGTAACTCTGCAACGAGATTGGCCTCCAGACCCCCTTGGAGCTTACTCGCACTATGCCCTGTTAGCCTCTTGCGCCCATCTCACGTTAGCTCCAACATACCTTATTCTTCTGAAGTCGATAAGTCGACCGTCAGATGTTTCAGTCAAGCAGCAAACGTAGATAGGCCGTCGCTGGAAAAAGGTCGGGATTTTGATATTCATAAATGCCACCTCCAGCCTAAATCGAATCTTGACACCTTCGGCAGTGACTTCCTGTTCTGCATATTAGTCAATGAAGGTGTGCCTGTGATAATTTCCTGACGAACCCTTCCAGTTATCTTGACGGCGACCCTCAGTTTTGGGAACTCCCTCACTCGCGCGAGCAACTTGGTTCCAAATGAAGGATTCTTGCTGAGCGTCATTTCGATCTGATGAGGCTCAGTGGCCTCCAGTTCTTCAAGGTTCATGATCCCACTAGCAGCTAGCTTCCTCACGGCGACAACACCGACTTGATCTATCTGCTTCATTTGAAGCGGAGAGTGATCCCATACCTTGGCACCGAAGCTGCGCGCCAGCTCTAGTGAGTTGAGCATCGCGGTTGAGTCCTCACGTGCAATTTGACAATCGATAACACAGCGGATCAATCGGTTGACATGAGAGAGGACCAGGGATTTTTCCTGTTGGAACGAGAACTTGTGCTTTTGGAATTGCTCGCCACTGGGAAAGTCAATTGCACCAAGTTCGGCTTGAAGCAGCAGTGAGATCTTGTGGCACGATTGAGAAACCTCAACTTTAATCGGAAATCGAATACCGGGATCTTTGTTGATTTCCCGATAAAGAGGCTTCTCTCCAGCCTTGAAGCGGATCTCATGGAACTCTTCGCCCTGAACAACGACTTCGAGCTGTTTTCATCAGTAAAAAATTATGCTCATCGGGGGTGTACATACAACTTGAGACAGTGTCGCTTTCGAGTCCAGAGAAAGAAGAATCTTCATCGTCTCGAATCGTATATAATATCGAGCCATGGCTTCTCCAAACCGAGTTGAATGCAGTTCATCCGTCCCTACTAGTCCACACTCTTGAAGAAGTTTGATATCTTTCTCACAGACTTGACGTAAAAGCTCTTCCTCATCTTCCTCGCTCGCCCCTTCTTTGAGCTTGTAGTAGGTTGGATTCCGGCGAAGCCGTACAAAGAGGAAAGTGCCGGCAAGCCACCTCGTTGCCTTGTCAAGATCTGTCACATTTCCCAGTCCAATTTCCGCATTGAGATGCTCGATGAGGTTGAGGTGCAAGCAGCTCTCCAGACTTTCTGAGCCTGCAATAAGTTTCTCGTAGTGATTCACTTGCTCTTTTCGAGTCAAAATGACTGCTGTTGCCTTATCGTCGAATTGAGGACGCCCGGCACGACCGAGCATCTGCATCATTTCGAGATCGGAGTATTCTTGGCAGCCACCTTTTTGCCAGCAGACTGTGTTCTTGATAATCACAAGGTGACAGGGCAGGTTTACCCCGACAGCCAAAGTAGAGGTGCAGCATATCACATTGATGTGCCCATCCAAGAAGCCCTTCTCAACAGCGTGTCTATCTCCTGGGCCCAGCCCGGCATGGTGAAATGCCACCCCTGTGCATACGGTTCCTGTGGTATGTCAGAATGTATCGAAAAGGTAGCCCCGAAGCTCAATCCGTACCTTTGAGATCCCCATTGTGAACTTCGATATGTTTGGTAGGCCCTTTCCAGAGTCTTGCGGGTGGGTTTGTCATTGTCCACAGCCGAGCGAGGTCTTTGGCCGTTGCAACGGACGAGTTCCGAGTGCAACAGAAAACCATCATTGGCTTCTGGCAAGAATGGGTGCCGATAACATTGGGCAGTCTAGAAGCCATGGTTGATTAGAAATTTCAAGACTTTGCTGGAAGCTCGCTTTTGGGTCACTCACTTTGAGCCACAAATCTTGTCGAATACGAAATCATTTCCACTCGATTGATACCCGTACACAAATTTCTGCAACTTGACCGGTCGGAAATCTTCTCCAAAATACTCTCTGTGAGCAGGAACATGTTGGGTAGTAGCATCTTTCCCAAGCCACGTCGCAATGTCCTCCGAGTTCGGAACGGTGGCACTCAAGGCGACAAAGCGAACATTCGATCCAATGTTTTTCATTCGTGACACGACAGCCTCAAGCGTAGCACCTCGAGATTCCTTGAGAATGTGGACCTCGTCAATCAGAACCAGCTTTACCAGTTGCATTAGCCGCATGTGATCCTTCCATTTTCGCGTCATGCTATCCCATTTCTCGGGTGTTGTGATTATGATTTGACTGTTTTGAACGCCGCGTAGCTGAGTATGATCTGTATCGCCCGTCAATTCGGCACATTGCAGATTGAGTGCTGAAAATTTGCGATTCCAATCTCGAAACCGCTCTGCGCAAAGCGATTTGGTTGGGGCTTGGTAGACAACTTTGAAGCGTTCGTCTTTCAAGGTATTCAGAAGCCTGCAGATAGCCAATTCCATGATCACGGTTTTGCCACTTCCAGTCGGTGCCGATAATACCAAGTTGTCGTTGGTGTTATATACGGTATAGAAACATTTGGATTGAATGGCATTGAATAACGGGAAACTGAAAAGCGAGCGGTGCTGCTCGCACAAGTCCGAAACTGGAACCAAAACAATACCTCGTACAGAGAGGGGAAGGTTGGAAAAGGGAGAGCCTCCATGACTGTCCGAGCCTGCAATAGGCGCTCTTGTCTTTCGGTGAAGTGAAGTTGTTTGTTGTAAAGAGGATTGGGTTGGATCAAATTCGAACTCTTCGTAATAAGGTTCCGGCTGGCCTCGTCCTTCAGTTGACTTGTTCTTTCGCTGATGCATCAAAGCCAGTGGGCTGGACTGAAAACCGAAGGCATTATCGGGCTGACTAGATCCCAATCCACTGAGAGGCGTGGTTTTGAGCATTGCTGTTGGATATCAGGTTAATAGTGATTTCACCCATTCGAAAGTGAAAGAGCTTACGAGTGAAAAAGCGAGAGGTCTGCACTGGAGCAGCTTGATTGCTCAGGCTTGCAGTCTTGTTCCTATGCTGGGGAATGACGCTTCCGGTAGGAGTCACCGACGTTATGGTGCTTCCTATACCGGCGTCGGATGCAAGTAACTCGAGGTCTCGTGGGTCTTAGCGATAGCAGCAACGCTCTTCATTGGCAGCTTATGGCTTACCAAAAGCATCCAATTGAGAATCACCATCGCAAGGACCAATCTCGGGACTCGGAGAAGCCATGATTGAAGAATTCCGAAAACGAGAGTCGTGGGCCCGAGGTTGATGAGACCCTTCGATCAACTTCTGATCAATGACCCCAGCCCTATTGTTCCGAGAGGTACTACCTGAACCAGGGCCAATCCGACGCACTTTTGGTGATGAATCAAACTTGTTGGGTCGAAAGTATAAATTTACTCGCATGCTTGCAGGGCCGAGTGAGGGAACGAATGTGAGTTCGCTGGTCGAGGGAGGTGAAGCATGACCAGCGGGACTGGAGGGTCACGGGAATTCCGACTTGGGAAGCTTTAGGCTTCAATTCACCCTACAGTCGATCTCGGTTTTACCTTGGATCCTCGAACGCGATTATAAAATTGCTTTTTATCTTCTTTAAGGACAATATATCAGGCCTCACATGGCAACTGGAAGACGTCACAGTGGAACAACGACTCATCGCCAGGAAATTATACCTAGTAGACAGGATTGCACTTGTAGTACCTAAGAGATATCAGCAGCAGTAGCGACTATCAGTAGTAGTATGTTGAAGGATATTCAGATCAGGTTGATAAAAGTGTACAACATTCACGAGAGATTCTTTTTAAAAATCACAATAACTTTATATGCATACATGACTGAAACCCCGAAGGAGTTGATGATAGGAAACACTCTCACGAACGGATCTGCCTCTCGTGGAGGAAGGAATGTCGGGAAATAGTATATGTGGAATTACCACAGGCTCAATCGTATCTATCAGTCGTCCAAATCATATCACCGTAATCAGGGGAGGAGTGCCCAGTGGAGTTTAAGCCGGCTTTCAGTTACTCCTTATCGAAGTAGCTGCTCCCACTCACTTTCCGGCTGGAATTTACACGAGTGTGGTGGCTCGGGTTCGGAGAGGTGGGGCGAGAGGATGAGAGACCATCCGACAAGAACGGGGTGCTGGGTAGTTTAATAGAAAATTCGTTGGGGGAGTTAGACGCGGGTGATCCACTGTCAGCGCCACTATCTTTCTCGTATGCATCAATGCGAATAGGAGGAGGCCGAACGCCTGTGGAAAAATAGCTCGGGTTGCCATAATAGTGGGTTGCGACCAAAACAGCAGCAGAGCCAACAAAAAACTAGAGCTCAGATTATTAGCAAGATTCTTTTGAGAATAATGGGAATACGTGGGCCCTTACGCTCGCAGTAAGCTCAAATTCAAATAAATAAATACTTGCAAGGATGCACAAAACTGTGCTCACGGTAGTGGCCAGCGACTTAGGATCTCTCTGGGAAGAGCTGATGGAAAATGTGGAGAGAGTGCCGCCCAGAGCTTGGATCACGATGGTGGTCCATACAGCCCAGTCGTAGCCTTGAAAAAATCCACCATTGGAGATAGTATCGCCGTCGCGGAAAACGACACCAATAAAGAGTGCTGGAAACACAGAGTAGATTGCCAATTGAACGTTACGCACCCATAGCGAAGTGTGGGTTGAGCTGTCCTTGAGAACCTTTTCAAAGTAAGTTCCACCGAGACCAGAAGCTAGGGTGGCGCCGATGATCGCGAGAAGACCCAGTGTCTGGTTCAAGTGTGGGTCAGCGGTCTGTATATCCTCCTCAATGCCTTCGTATGTTGCGGAACGCTTGTGCAGGTTACTCGTAATTCCCTTGGCGGCCTTCCATTCTTCAAGCGATCGGGGGAAATGCAACGATGCGCTTTCATCCTGCAAGCTCATTTGATCTGAGTTGGCATCCGGGATCTGAACAAGGGCAACGCCCACGAGAAGCAACAAGAGTAAGCCCCACTTGTGAGGCGCGATAGTCCGACGAAGAATAATCAGACCAAAGATCGCAGTCGTAAAGAACTGCAATTGCGAAGTAAGCTGGAAACTCGCTGCCTGCATATTGGACAGCGCGATGTATTGTAGCGAACTGGACAAAACGCCGAGACTCGCCGGGATTGCGAGTTTCCAACTGTCGCCCGAAACGACAGCGCTAGTTAGGGAGAAGAAGAGGGATGTGGCGGGCATTGAGGGAGGCGCGGCCTTGGAGACGTCATAGAGGGCCATTGTGAGAGAAATAGCCAGCTTGATCATCTCGTTCAGGAAAACCGCCGTGGAGGTCAGGTATCGCTTCCCACCAGCGGGGGGGCATCACTCGAGAATAATGGGCGAGCTGTCATTGCGGGCAAAAGAGATAATCAGTCCTATGCGTGGGTTGGATGTTGACATGGAGCGGAAAAAGACTCACCAGAACAAACCCCGTCGATTGCACCGTGAGCTGCATTGGAGAATGGACACGTCAGTGACATGATTTGAGGATCGCGATACGTATCGCACGCGTCGATTCGGGATCCCTACCAGCAGCCATGGAACATTCTTGGTGACATCTCGCAGCCAAGACGGTTGACGCTGCGTGCGGTCCCCCATGGTGACTCCCCGTGGAATTGTGGATTTATCGCGATTGCGGGACGACCTTCAGGTGGATATCTTCTCCGCAAAGACACGGAGCCGCGGAGGGGAGTAACAACAATGCGAATAAATGCGATATAGTATAGTGGAAGTTAGAATGGAGGGGGCGACGAGAAGAAGATGAGTGATCGAGGAGGCAGCGACAGAAAGACCGGAGGTTGTTGCAGTGTTGCGCTTAGACTTCGCACTTCGTCCAGCTAAAGCAGGGGGGCACTCCAGCGATCTGCCGCCTAGGGCCAATCTTCAGGGCTTCGGATGACGATCACAGCGGAGCTCCGCGTGGGTCGAGTGGCTGGGGTGACAAGGATGGAGGTTGTGATATGAGGTCACGGCAAGTGGACGGCCCCAGGAGATGGGTATGGAGTATCCGTACTATATGTAATAGAAAAGCAAAGGAGTGATATGTACTTCGTAAGGTGTAAACAGCTCAAATGTACGGAGTAGTCGTGGAGAAGCCAGTTGGGGTGTTGTTTGAAGAGCGGTGTAGATCACGGGGTCACTCCCCTCTTTACACTTTGGCATTTGCACTTTGGTCTCTTGGGCACGAACACGAACAATAGTCCTTGCTCTTGGGAAAAGCAATGCACCTCTGCCTTGACTCTTCTTGAAACCTGGGGCCGATTTGAGTCGGCTGAGTCTAGGCCTAGCTTCTCCTATGACGTCAAGCCCCGCCACAATGATCCACTTCGTCTTGGCCCTTCCTTCTGCGTCTTCCAACCCGGCGCGGAGTACGCTGATATGTACTGTACAACGGAGTATGGAATGCGAGATAATATAAGGCGGTGGACCTACGTGCCTGGTCTGATTGCCTGTTGCTCCATTTGGCACCGCACCCGGGACAAGCCACCCTCTGATGGCGTTGGGGCCAAATGCATGTCGACCACGATGCTAGGGTTGTTCGTAGGGGGTCTACGTGGGCTGTGGAACTTGCTTCTGCATGGCGCAAATCGTGCAGTCATGCGGTCCGCCATACTGGATTCAGTATGGCCAGCATCTGTGGAGTCAGACGTGACAACGTAGGTAGTACTTAATGGGTTACTCCTCCACTTCATCATTTCTTTTAACCAATTGAGACTGGTATTTCCACCGTGGATCTCTGTGAAAGACTCAAGGACATGACACTATTTTCTATTCGTTCATGCAGTCCTGGACATCACCAAATATCTATCATTAAATACTGCAGTCTGCTTCCGATGCCGTTGAGTCACCATCTCCCCTCTCAAGAATCGAAAAATTGATTCTATGGTCTCCTGGTTCGTGTTAGTGAGCTGGAGATAAAGCGATCGAATGGACACATCTCACCCCTTGTCACAGAGTCTAAAATTAACGATAGCAATTGTTGGGCTGTGTTATGATAGTCAGAATACCAAAAGGAAAATAATAATGAGAAGCGCATACCATCTTGGTCAACACAAGCAAGAGTCGGTTCGTTCTGTGGCTTGTGTATATGTGTGAAACTTTTGTCGGTTTCTGCAATCCAGCAAGGTGCTTTAATAGAGATATATGGCTCATCGCTTCCCATACCTTGGCTCAGACAATCCAAGGGCACTTTGACTTGACTTTAGAAAGGTTTCTGATCGATTGGGGGCGACACTTACTTTCAATACTCAGGCACACAGACCTGGATCTATCTGAGATCAGTAAACGATATTTTTTTGTCTCAATGTTCAATCCGAGTTTCAGTGTTGCGTCGGCCAGGTGGTAATTATAGACCATTAGAAGACCAAGGGGTCTGTGGAGAGCACTGATGAGTATTTCGAGAGACAGTATGCCAAAGTGATGAACTCACAATTCGAAGACAAGCTTCTCGTATCTCTGGATCTGTTGAATTTTGAACAGCATTAATCCTTCTTGCAGATACTTTAGCTGATGAAGCAGTTGGCTCGCAGCTATGGATGTTAATAAATTGTATCTAAAAAGGGGAGAAAGGCATACCAGCATCGTCGCAAAGCTCCATATCGACATCTATCCCCCTTACCATTGCCTCTTGGCCAGTTCCAGTTGTGGACAAGCAGTCTGTCTGGTTGATCCTGACGACTGATGTATTCTCTCCGGGGGTAATGTTTGTTTGATAGTCGACTAAAACATGGTAAGCCCCCACATAAAGTATGATACTAGTACAGATCTTCACCTACTTTTGAGTCCCAGCTTCACGACGTGATCATCGGATGAGTTCATATCGCTCTGGTCGGCGCGTAAGTACAACATGACATCAGCAGTCTCGCCGAAGAGCCACTCTCCACTTTCATTCAGATTCCGATAGTGAACCATCTGAACCATCTCGATAGAGCCAGGCAAGTAGCTGTGCCCATTGGCATTCAGCCTCAAATTGCTGATCTTGTTGTATAACATGCGGGTGTCACTAGATGCGGTCAGTAGACTGCTGACTCGAAGGAACTCTTCACGAGCGTACCCCATCATATTAAGAACGGAAATTATAGTACGATCTGTATACGGATTGACGGATGGAAAAACCATCAAAGAGCCTAGTCCACGCGCGGTAGCTTGTTGAGCCGTTGTAGTCGCGAGGTCGGCTATTGCGTTCTCGAAGAAAGCAAGGTCTTGTGCTGTTAGTATATGGCATGTGAGAAACTTAATATGGAATACATACGTGATTGTGGTACATCTCGTATTATCAGCGAGGTAAGTCTAGATGTCCTAGACGACGATAGCCAGATTTTCCATGATTGCAATGGTCCATTCAAGCGAACGATGAGGCTCATAGGGGACACTATCGAATTTCAAGGTTAAGTTTCCAGGGTTTGCTCTGATTTTAAGTAGACTGCTTGCATACAAGTATATTGCGACAGATATTCGTGTTTCCTTCCTCCACGCACTGCTTGTGTCAAAGAGCATCGACAATTGAAGACACATTGATCGGTGGAGTTCTGGAGCCATTTTTCATCAAAACAGGCATTTTCACAAAGAGAAGCGATATCATGATAATCAGAGCCCTCGATGTGCAAAGAAAAGATCAGTTCAGACGACATAAAACTCTGTGATCGAGATGGAGCGGGTGCATCATTGAAGCTATTCGTGCGAAATTTCAAGTTGCTTGTGAACCAGCTATGGATTTCATCCAATTTCTCATGGACATCATCTACTTTGCGATCTATCGTCTGATTCAATTCACTGGAAGCTTGAGTAAGCATAATACCAAGTAGAAATAAGGAAGAATTACCTGTTTGATACTGTAACTGCAAGATTCAAGCTATTGATGTGAACCCCGAGATTGTGCTGCAATTTAGCTAAATCGCCCCCTTCCCTGGTCCATCGCACCTTTTTCCAATTTTTTGATACCTCGGTGCTCCATTGCTTTATGTGAGGTTTGGATTTATCATTGTCGTTGCTTATCACCATGTACTTATCCACCAACAATTGAAGGTGTTCGAGGGTGAAACGACAATTCTGGATAATCGCAGAAATTCCATCCTCTGGGTGAGAATTGTCGTCATCTGTGTCCTTGGATGGCACTGACTTGAAAGAGTCCAAAGCCTTGCTAAGGGAATAAAGCTGGTTTTGGACCTCTTGAAACTCTGCGGGGGCTGATTTTCTGCCTGAAGTGAATGCCGCAGCGATATCAAAGGCAAGTTTGGATAACATCAAGACATCTCCAATGGATATCTGGAACGCCATGGTTTAGTAGGTACTCCAGATAAACATAATAGGAAAGAGACTTCAGCATGCGAAAATGATAGTAATAAATACCGACCATGTGATATGTTCGATGCCAAGCCACGCGGGGCTGACTGCATGCTGGAGCAAATCAATGGCGGCAGCGACGCGGTTTAGTCACAAATACGAACCCGGGCGAAACAAGACAAGGCAGAACGAGGCGAGCAGAGGGTGCGGCTGAGGCTGAGGGGTTATAAAGCTTGCTCTGTATCTTTTATTCCCGCATATGTCGGCGACAAACTTGAACGAATTCCAACGATGGATGTAATTGATAGGTTCAAATCAGGACTATTCGTCCGCCGACTCAATGTGAATCCAGCATACAATCCCAACATAAATCCGGTAGACGACACTTTCTCCGGAATTGTGAAGGACGTCCGTCATAGTGTGTTCCCTGGCCAATCTACTATCAGTTCAAGAAGCCCCGTTCCCTGTCTACCTTCCCCAGTCTCTCAAGAGACCCCACTTCCACTACTCAGCGTCTCTATCGAGGTCGACATTAATGGCAGATTCTGTAACACCAAGATCACGCAGAAATTCACAAATGCTTGCGCAGACGCCGCACAGGATGCTCGATACTTGTTTCCAATCTACGATGGGTCGGTCGTCACCTTTTTCCAATGTTGGATAGGCCCGGACAGGCTTCTCGAGGGAGCCGTTAAACCCAAAGAAGTCGCACGTCAAGATTTCCAGCAAGCAGTTTCGCGGCACAAAGCAGCTGTGCTGATTGAAGAAGTAACGCCGGAAATTCTCGAAACGAATTTGGGAAATATTCCCGCAGAGACAACCGTCAAGGTCGTCATCGCTTACACCCATCTCCTCAAAGTGGACAACAGCACAGGAGGACTAGTTCTCAGCATCCCGACCTCTGTCGCGCCGCGATATGGAACCCCTCCGCAAGGATACGTCGCAGGTGATTCTCTACCTACCGAGGGTCTTCGGGTCAATATTCAAGTATCTATGCCAGCATCCATCCGCAAAATGGAGTCGGGTACACACCCAATCTCAGTCGAAATCGGGGCAGTCTCTCACCAGAGCTTCCAAACGTTTGCAGCAGGAGCTTTTTCGGAGAATTTCGACCCTTCCAAGGCACGCGCTACCTTAGCAGACAGGTCGGCTGTTCTTCATAAGGATTTCATATTATCTATTGTCCTCTCCAGCTCGCGAGAATTCATGCAATCACAAGCAATTGCTACTTCGCAGAGGGAAAGCCCCGGTCAATCTACTGTGGCTGTCACTATCAGCCCTGGGAATCTGTTTCTACAAAATGTGAATACAGAAGATTTTGACGGCGAGATTATTTTCATGGCCGACCGATCTGGTTCCATGCAGGAAATGATACCGTCCTTAATTGACGTGATGAATGTTTTCCTGAGGAGTCTTCCGCAGAAGTGCTCTTTTAATATTGCTTCGTTCGGTTCAAGATTTTCATGGCTCTGGCCTTTCTCACAGGCCTATAGTCAAGAAGATCTAGATACCGCGACTCGTCACGTCCAATCATTTAAAGCAGACTTTGGGGGGGACCGAGATATTGACAGCACTCCAAAGTGTGATGGAACATCATGATAGAAGAGTTGCTGTTCCAACAAACGTGATTCTGTTGACGGATGGTGAAGTGTGGGATGTGGACCGAGTGATTCAGTTCGCGAAAACAACAGCTTCTAACCGCGAATTGAATGTAAGATTTTTTGCTCTGGGTATTGGTGATCGTGTCTCACACAGATTGGTTGAGGGCATCGGACAGCAGGGCGGGGGGTGCGCAGAGGTCGTCACAGAGTCTTCTGCGGGGGCTTGGCAAAAGAGAGTTATCCATATGCTCAAGGCAGCTTTGACTCCCTCTCGTCTGCAATGCGAAGTAGATATTGGCCAGTTACCTCTGATGGACACAGATATTTTCGATACGGGTGGACTCTCCGGCTATAAGCTGAGGCTGCCGCCCTGCATCCAAGCACCGCACCACATTCCCATGCTAAATACCTTTTCTCAGTTCTCGCTTTACTATATGCTTGACTGCGAACTCGGGTCTCTACCCGAATCAGTTACTATCACAGCAGTAACCGACAAGGGCGAGAAACTCATTGCGCAATTACCACTGCAGAAATCCGCCAAGAAGCCTGGATTGCACTATCTTGCAGCGAAAGCTCTGATGAACGATTATGAGACTGGCCAGAGCTGGATGCATACAGCAGGATCGTCTCTCAAGTCCAATGAGCCACCAGTTTTTGATGAGATATTGAAGCAAGAGGCCCAGCGTTTTGGGCAACAATGGTCCATCACTAGCAAGTGGACGAGCTTTGTCGCTATCGACCGGGACACTGCCTATCGTCATGAAATATCGCTCTGCAAGGCGGATAGTGTCGATGTTTCCGAACTTACGCGCCCCCGGAAGTTTCAGGTTCCTGTCCATTCCCAGCTGGGGCTCCCATTTATGCACCAGCCCACTCGCTCCTTCCAATCCTTAGGAAAGGGCTACCAGGGCATACCCCGAAAGCGAGGCCGGCCTGGTATTCCTGCTAGTGCTGGCTTGTTGAGGTCTCTAAGTCGCCCTGGAAAGCGCTCTTCAACCTCTGGAGATACCAATACTTCTAGTGACCCGCCATTTGACAATAGCAGTAGTGCTGGGATCTCAATTCCTGATCTTCTCTCTACCGCGCCGATGTCCTTTGGGGATGAAGGCGTAGATGACGAACAGATGTATTCTATTCCAATTCACCCATCCTACTCTGTACCACCTTCACATTTAATCGGATTCCCCGGCCCAGCAGGTCCAGCAGGACAGTCGAACACATTCTCCGCCAACGGACCACCCGCCGCATCGGTGATGCGGGAACCGGGCTACCTCCATCAACCCCAGCTCCAGGCCGACGGCTCGCGCAACAGCCTTACCTCAATCAACACACAAGAGTCACATAACGCGTCTCTCAACTCGCTCAGTACGGGAAAGTCCCCTACGCAGAGCGCCGAACCCGGCATTACCTCTATTTCCGAAGAATATGATCATATCTCCCCTTTTGATGAATCTTCATACTGCTCCGACGTCCCTTACAGTACAGGAAGTGCTCCAGTCGCCCAGGCCAATCAGGTACCAGAACCGTCGCAGACTGGTCATTACGCCCAGTCACAGTCACATTATATTGACTCGATTCCAAATCTAACCTTTGGAATGACTGGATCTGAAGATTACCCTGGCTGGGGAGCCCCTGAAGAGTACCCCGGCTGGGGAGCCCCAGTTACCTCAGAATCAGATCCATGTGCAATAGCGGTTACGCCGCCAAAAGACTCCCCACAAAATAGTCTTACCCTTTCTCTCCCAGAGATTCTCTCCACTCAAGCAGCAGATGGGAAATTCCGGCTCCTTCGTTCGCCCATAAAGGATTCTCTTATGGCGCAATTCAACAACATCGTGGTTTATCGTCGTTGGGGTACCATCAAGCTAGTGCCAGTGACAAGCCAGACCAACGATCCCACCTCGATTGAGCTCAACATCCACGCAGTCGTGTATATAACAAACCGCCACGCTGACTCAAAAGGGCTGTGGGAGCTTCAGATAGAAAAGGCCCGACGGTGGATACTGAAGAAGCTGGCAAAACACCGTGGCCCTGTGAGACAGAGGGCGTTATTTCAAATCCGAGAGGCTCGATACTTGCCCGAATCTTATTTGAAGAGGATGGAGGAGCTCCTGCGTGCAGAGCTCGTGCCAGAGTTGAGGGAAGGAAGTGCTAGTGGTTTGATTGGTGAATCGGGCAATACATCTTCGGCTTGATATCATCGTCCACCATGTGTTTCGATTGGGGTGCTTGCAAAATTTTACGAATAATGTCAAATCTCATTTTAAGTGGGAATAATGGTCACTTGCACGCAATTTATTTGAACTGAGATGCTCTGGTTTATATAGTTTTGCGGGTGAGAGAGTAATACACCTGGGCACTCCCGCCGGGCTTAACTGGACTTGCCCATCTAGTAGCCAAGTGTTCAGCAGCTGGGCGATAACTTCTAAGGTTTCTACTTGGTCAATTTTACTATTAAGTTAATGATTGAATGAGATAGGGTATATCAAATATGGATTCTGTTTTTTTCCGCCATGCGTCCTTGCTATGGCTGGTTCGACGTATGAAGTATTAAATATAACAGACACGCAGTTTTCTTAAGACAAATAGTCAAGAGAATGGTCTGTGTACAAAGAAGGGCTGGGGTAGAGAGACGAAAAGAAACGCTGAGAGGCTGAGTGATGCAAGATAGAAAAATGCAAGGAGTAAAGAATAGTCAGGATGCGTAATCCAAATAAGGGCCAGTCTTTATACATCGGATGAAGGGTAGTTGAAAAATCGAGGAAATTATTAATAGTGAGTGTGGTCGTGCAAAGTCAATTGCTGCTTCATCCTAATGCACAGCAGCAACGTTGCTTTGGTCATGTGTGTTCCAGTCAAAGTCGAAAGACCAGAGAGGGAGATCGTGCTTGTTTTGTGGATCGCCGTTGTCAAGCATGATGGCTTCACTGCTGTCGGTGCGGCGACGGCTATGACGCTTTTGGTCCTGGGGGATAGCTGGCGGGGGACCGCGTGGTGCCGGCTTCGGGGATGGGAGAGGCGAGAAACGGTGGATTGGGAGAGTCGGAGTCAAGGGAGAAGCGCCGCTGGTGGCGGGAGAAGGGAGGCTTTCCGAATACGCCGTGCTGAAACGGGACGAGGCAACCGAATTACCGATTTTCTGTTCAGTATCAGAACTCGAACTCTGCGAGGGCGATCCATCCATTTGAGTAGCACCTTGGTCTGTTCGGGCTTGGAAAGGGGGGAAGGCCGCACTGAGACGCAGGAACGAAGTGTCCGATCCGACGAAGGAATCACGCGATGGGCCCGAAATCATCGAGCTGCGATCAACCTCGGGGACTGGTGGAGCCCCGCTGTACTGGAAGAGACTCGGTGTCACCTTGCCCTTTCGCAACCGCATTGCCTCTAAAAGATCCTGTTCCTGCCGAGTCACTGCAATGACTCGACTCCTCCGGTTCATCTCCTTCAACTCGTGAGGCGGACGTAGTCGTTGTTGCGGAAACTGATCCAAGATATCCTGCTGAGGAAGAGCAGGGGCACCGATTGACCGCCGGGATTGAGTCGTTTTTGTTGTTGACTTGCTATTAGCTGACGCAGTTGTATCCCTGCGGCTAGATCTTCTCTGCTTGGGTTGCTCGACCTGCTGGACCTGCTGGGCCTGTTGCTTATTTTGTTGTTTTTGTGTGTTCGGATGCGATCCACGGCTGCCAGTGGACTTTGTCCGTTCGGCCCTTTTGTACATATGGGCAGTGGAGGCAGTGTAGATTTCAGCGTCAGACTCGTCATAGGTAGCAACGCTATCTCGATTGCTTTTTCTTTGGTTTGGACGCAAGTCTGTCGGTGTTTCAACGTCCTCCTCTGTCTCATCCTCTGAAGAAGACGAAAGACAGAGTACACTAGAATTTTGGAGATCCTTGTTTTTCAAGGTACTCTTGCTGCTCTTTTTCGTCATATTGCTCTTAACGCTTCGCGAATTGCTCTCCGCGGCCGAACTGACCTTTCGGGGACGATTGGTTTCTGGCTGCGGTGCAGGAGCCAAGTATGAATCCTTGCGGCGGTTGCCAGATGGACTACGAGTGCGTCTCGCATTTGCACCCGAATCCGTATTCCGCTGATCCGCTTGTAGCTGCTCTCGACTTGCCGTGTAGACACTTGAGCGGCTAAGGAGCGATCTTCTTCCGGCATATCGATCCAGGGCGAGGTCTATTTCACTAGTCCCCACCGTGCGCTCCAGTGGAGGTTCATACCATTCGTAATTCTTAGATTCGGGAATTGACAAGAGATCGGAGCGGTCAGAGCGGTCAGCGGTTGGCTTGGGAGCCTCATTTTGAAAGACTGAGGAACGAGCAGGCAATGCGTCTCCGAATCGTTTTGCGGTCGAATTGCTTCCGGCTTGGTCGGCCTTGTTGGACGGCCAATCCGAGACAACAGTGGAGACAGGAGACGGGGAGCTGGTCATACGCTGAGGTGATAGAAGATGAGGATTGGTGGTGGGTTTGCGGGGTTTAGGGAAAAGAACGGACAAGTCAATGCGTGGGGGCCGGAGCTTTCGCTTTGACTCTTTCGGAGGTTGAGGTTGTTGGAAAGTAACCTGGGGCTCTGCCTGCCACTCATTGCGAACTCTGGGCTGAAGGCCCTTTGGGGTTGTGGGTGACGATTTGGACTTCGAAGAATCTTTCTCCTTGGAACTAAAATAGGAAAATAGCGTGGACGAGGAACTGGATGGGTGGATCTTCTTCGACGGCTTGGGCAGCGGCGGTGCGGGATCTTGGGATCGATATTCTTGGCCCAACAGAGGCGATGAGGCTCGCACACGAAGGTTTTGAGGGGGGACTTGTATGGTGTCTTCGGATTTTGGGAAAGCAGCGAAGCTTGTGTTTTGTTTGCGGGACCTCGAGGTACTGTCAGGCGTCCGCAAGCTCTGTCGTCGAGACTTAGGCTTCTTCTGTTGTGTCGGCTGCAGGCTGTCCCACCCGTTTTGACCATTGGGCAAAGGCAGATCCGTTCCTAGGATGCGTTGAGCTTTGGAGCTCTTGCGCTCCACAAAAGCCGAGTTCTTCTGGTCTTCCATCGCTCCAGGTCGTAAAAGATTTCGGCTCGAGGTTCGAAGTGGAACATGCACGGGGTTGGAATCCCGGTGCGCCATAGGACGAGTGTGGAGGGGAAAAAAATCAATAGGTCGTCATGAACTGCCCGCATATACAATCTCGCAATCCCGTCGTTTTGAGGAGTGAATTCGTCTGAGAAGGCCTCGTGGACCCGGTGTGTTTCTTAAGTTGGTTTTCCACCGCTTGTCGGCTTGACAAGAATCTACTCCACAAACAAGAGGGTCAGCAATTACGCAAAGCCCGAAGACAGGACTACCCGCGTGGGCCTCCACCGGAACGTACCGTGGTAAATGAGCGGAAAATAAGAGAACACAGGGAGAGATTGATGGTTCTGCACACCCGACGAGGGGCTAGGGAGAGAAGGGTGACACGGGGTGGAAAAGGAATGTATAGTCACAGCGACGCAGAACCGGGGGCGGTTCTTTTTTGTACGAGGAGCGGGCGCAGAGGATCGGAATGGAGGCACGATCGACTGGCACCCCATTTCAAGTTCACACATCGGTACGCTTAATAGGGGTGGCCCACAAGTATCTTCTCTGGAGCCTGCATGGGCCAAAGGGGGGGAATTGAAATCCTCATGGCCTGTCATAGGCTAAGGAGATGAGCGGACATGCTCGCACGGGTGTGTTTCATTTAATCGGGTGGAGCATGACATGGAAGACGGGGCCTTCCATTGGAACGTATCCTTGGTTGCGGTAGGGTAGTGGTTCCTAGCCTTTCACGCTCCGAGCCCTCCAAGGATTAGCATTGAATCGCGCGCGGCTTGGATCGACGGCTCAGCTACTGAGGATAGCGGGCTTTTCGCATGGACGAGAAGAGTATGTATCGACAGGCACCCACTTTGACTGGGTCCCCTGGGCTCTAGTCAAAAGCGCAACTCCGCGGTTGGATTGCGGGCGTAGGAAGTACCATGGAAATGCATATTGGGCGGGATGTATGGCAATCTTGTCATGTCATTGATTACATTTCCCCAGGGTTGGTTTCAAAGAAGATTTGTAGCAGGTGAGTAGTACGGAGTAGTACTAGTAGATGATATGATGAAGAGCCGCGGGCCGCCCCTGGCAGCTGCCGAAGTAGAACGTGAGTGAACACGTGAATCTGCACAAGGGAGTCCGGAGTACACGGTTACGGTGTATGTTCATCCTACATCCTCATCTTCCTCTTCCATAAGGGGAGTATGGAATATGGAATATGCTATTCATAGAGCTTGGTACTTCCATAGAGTCCCGACTCTTTGGACTCATCGACTATAATCCTCCGCACGCCACTATTCAACGCCGCTCAGATCTGGCTTGCACTGGTGACGCCCAACTCCACCCAAGCTTCCACCCCCCTTTTCCGGCTGTCTCTATTTAGGACTGTCATGTCGAAGCGCCTCAGTGGATTCTAGTCAACGAGCTAAAATTCCACGCTTATGGAACTATGGAGCCTCTACCGCGATGGTCTAAGTATATACAGCCCCATCCATTCTGTCGCTACCGTGACGGAGTGAGGAGTATGTAAACTTGAAATCGATCGACAGCCTCGATCGTGTATCGACCCAGCACCCCGGGGCGCGAGCTCAGATCGGATCGTGCGTAAACCGCCCTACCCTGCCCACTTCAAGCCTTCAAGGGTGGTGCCGTGACAAATAACCAGGTCCGCGTCGCGTCCCTGACCCCGTCCGCCCAGACAGGTGCACTTCCAACATCGGACAATCAGGCAGTGATCACCTCCGAACGTGTTGCGTCCGATGCCACGCGCATGCAGCCCACCCAAGTTCCCATGGTGGTCTTGTCCAGAACTCAAATCCGACTTGAGGGCGCAGTCTGCAGACTGGATTGGATGGCTGAAACACCGCCCACCCATGGGACTGGTTCCCGACCTTGACAGGTTGACGTGCCTTAGCTTGCGGAGTTGTCTCGGGGGCTGGATGTAAACAATGAATGGAGGAGACGGACCATCACAATCACAATTCCAATCTTGATCCCCGATTCCCCCAGACCTAGCACGATGCGGATGGCGAAGAAAAAGGGGGACGTGTCACAAACCACCACCACCACCACCATGGACCATGGACTGTTTTCCATATCGGCCCTAGTTCGTGTGCGACATTGGCCCGAGCAACCCACGGCGATCGAGGATCATCTTGCCCGGACTCCTCCGTTCTCCTCCGTCCACGAGTGTGCCGTGTCTGCAACGACCCACCGGTGACGGAACCCGTGCGGTGACACTCCGGGGCAAGTTGATTCTCCTCGAGATTAAGGGTTCCTTGTCCAGCGTCGCGTCATTGGCTGCGCCTAGATTAGACCGCTAACCCCTGCATCCTGCCAAACCATTCCTCTTCCGTCTGGTTTCTGCCGGTACTATTTTCAATCCTACAGAGCACAAGGAACCAGAAAAAGGGGTGAACCCAGTTGAATTGAGAAACCCGCTAGAAGGGCCCAAAAAGAAAAAAAAAGAGTCGACCCTCACTCCCGAATATTCCGACCATCCCCAGAGGAAACCACATTCTTGGGACTGGACGTTGAAACCCGACAAACACTGCCGACCATCCAGCACTATTGAACCCAAACGAAAGGTTTGACAGGTGAGCCCCCAAAATTATTGTCCGCTATGTCAATGGTGGGCAAGGCTAGCACCAAATGGTGTCCCCCAATAGTCAATAGTTCCTTCCACCCAGCAGAACGGAGCTCGTGGCGCAACAATAGACTGAGGCCGCGCCCATGGTTTCGACCACATAGTTTACCTTGCCACGACTCCAGACTCCAGAATATGCACTGTGGATTGGCCGTAGATCATACGAAAATCCTCAAAAATTCCCCGAAGGGCCCTAAAAGATTTGAATTGGGCATGTGCAAGCTTGGACTGCTTCGCCTGTCCCAATTTTTGGGGATCCCCGGCTCCACTCGTGCAAATCATCAGTTGCTTTATCTAGCCATCTTCAGGAAGATCAAACGAACTCTGTGCATCATCCCAAGTGTGCGGGTACGGCGAGCAAAAGTTCAAATGAATAGGCGTATCGGGTTGTCCGGCGAGCAAAAAAGATTATTGAATTTTAATTCTGGAGAAACGTGCTACCTGTACTCCGTCTTCCGGGAACTGCAGGTAGAGGTACACCGTGACTGTGGGGACAATAAAGCATAACTGTAAAACTCGCCATCATTCCCATCCCGTCCGGTAAATCCTGAAGAACAAGGAGATGGGATGGTGAAGTGGAAGTGGAGTTCATATAAATTGGTTCTTGATTCGTCGATGCTGAAGAAAAGAATGCGAAACTGCTACTATAACCTTGGAAGCCAACTGTTGGCGATCAAATAGAGACACGGTTTCCTACCAGTACCAACTTCTCTAGTGGCGCATACTACGCGCTCCATAGGCATTACAGCCATTGTGATGAAATCCGATCTCATCCTGCCACTGCACCGACGCTCGTATCATACTTGTCCATCCGCTCTGATTTGCCTTTGGCATTGAGACCTCGAGTGACCCTTATGATCCTGTCTTCGCTAATGAATAGTAACCACACGTCTTCGTCTTGGGAAGAAGTTAACATTCCGTGGATTAGTCGTACATTTCATACTACCAAGACAGGAGTTCTACATGTTGGTAGCTGTGCCCGCCGAGCCAATTGCAAAGATTCCTTCGCAGACTCGGATCAACTGATATCGTCCATCATACAAGACAAACATCATTCATCACGTTCGACATGCACCTTGAACAGGGGAATAGGAATCGCATCAGCCTCCTCCTGCGTCACGCGTGCCGGTCTCGGCGACATTTGAGCTTCACTAGAGCGACACAAAGTCGAAACGGGGTTGAGATAGGTCACCTTAAGGTGCGCACTAGGCAACATTAATTCGCATGAGCAGAGACGCAACGGGGACAAAAGCACCTACAAATGATGACCCGTGCTGATTCCCCCACAACTCAGTTTCCGCACCGCTTGATCCTCCTCGTTCGCGAATTTGAACGCAAAACCGCCCGCGTCGACGAAGTCAGGCGCTTGGTACCCTTTGGGACAATCGTCGGTATATAACAGGAAAACTCCCAGGGCTCGGGCGTTTGGTAGTTTGGTGAATGTTGCTGTGATGGGAATCAGTAAGCGGTCCATTTGCTGGATGCCCTTTGCTATGTCCATGGCGGAGCGAATGGTTATGAGACTACTGGTTTTGCTTTTCTCTTCTTTCCCGGTGTTAAGGCCGGGATTCGTTTTGGACGCGTCCTGGTCTTGGCTATTAGGCTTGCTGTGCTCGCTGTGCTCGCTGTGGTATTTGAAGGAGATGGTATAGGCCTCGACGATTTCAATGGGCGGTTCGACCTTCTTGACGATAGTGAATTTCACGGCCTGGAGACGGCGCCGAACGAGAACTTCGAAGATACTTCCTTCCTGTCCGGTGGTCGGGTTGTCAGTATATCCACTATCATGGTGAGATCACGAACATACGAGAAGATCGAGTACACGGTCCGTTCGGGAATCAACTCCTCTCTCCATGACCTTGACCTGGAAGGTAGGGCCGTCGACCTGGTTGTTTTCTGCACTGATGAACTCTTCATAGGTGCGAATATGGGAACCCTCCCGATTGGGGGCTTTTGGAATGGAAAGACTTCGTTCACCGAACGTGACTAGCGGCAGGAGGTCACTGTATAGCAGCGCTCATTGGCATTGTGACATGGCTTGGGGGTTTGCAGGAAAAGACCGACCGCTTGAAGAAAATGCCAGCAAGCTACTGCGTGTTAGTTGTGTCTGATGTTGAATTAGGAGTGGGGTATGGACCGTGATGTGCAGAACAATTTTCATCAACTCCAGGCTTTGAACCTGTACCATGTCAATATAGTACGTGGTCTTCGGGTTGTTGTCACCAGCTTGACGCGTACTTTCTGCTGGAGAGCGTTGAACATCTCCTCCGTCCGGGGCCTGGGTGGAACTCCAGGTTTCTGAGGAGAACTCATTGACTTGTGCACTACAGTAGTAGTAGATTTAGTAAGTTTTGCTGTGGCAGTGACAGTGGGTGTGGGTGATGGGTCAGGGTGGATTTGGAGCCCTGGAGTGGGAGACATATACCTACCTAGGTAAGTATGACCAGGTACTAGTCGAAGAGCGTCCTTCCAGGTTTATTGATTCAACCTCCAAACCTTCCAAGATTAGAACCTTGGAAGCTCACAACTTGAACTTGATTACGAGACTATTCCGGTCACCACCGAGTATCATTTATTCTAGTAGGATTTATACTGAGCCCTGTACTCCGTATCATCCATGGGTTGAATATACTATCTCTGCTGCAGAGTGGGGGCCAGCACGAGGCGCTGCGGGCTGAGTTGGGGGTACCTGCAGGTGACGTACCTGAGGGACAATGGAGCAGGGAGGCCATCCCTTGAGGATGGGATAAACACTGAGTCATGCTGGTTACTGCCTGGTATCCTGGTATCCCTGGCTGTATTGCAGTTGGAGGCAATGAGCGAGTCATTGTCCCTGGCATGACATTACATTGTACTATTAGTACTACTAGCTATACTAATACACTACTGTATGTATTTGTACACGTGACTGGTGGCGAGTCTGGAACTCTCCTCTCTCCACCTTGGCGGCAAACCGGTTTCTGCTGAACTGCACCTGGCACATCTTTCAAGTTCAAGTGCCACTGACAGATTTCAGGATTCGAGCCTTGAAAACTGGTCAGTGGCACTAATTATATTCAAAGAGGGTGAGCATTGTGGAATCTGGGATACCTTAAGTACCCTATCTGTAGGGCTACCCAAGGTTAAGTAGGGCCGGCTATTGGGAGGCACTTGATGGAAGTTGAGTGATCTAGCACAAAGCAGTCAATGCACAGCAGTCATACAGCTGTTACAGTAATGCAATATAGATAGTATAGTATAGTAGACTTCGTAGGTATAGCATAGTATATCATAGCTTACTGTACATAGTATACCGTAGTACATAGAGGCAATGTTGTTCTCCGCTTTCGCTCTACCGACTCCACCATGCCATTCCACTCCAATCACCCTTGTCAGCCGCCACTCTGTTTCTCTTTTTGTTTCTTCCCTTTCTTCCTTGCTTGCTCTTTGGGTCCTTTGAACCTTGGATTTTTTTTACTCATTCCCACGCCCCCTTCGCCATGCTCTGATCCGGTCGTTTCCATTTTCTTCATTTGTGTAAATGGTTTCGCTGAACGCGTGCGCTGACGGGCCGCTGTGCTAACACATTCCCATCTTGTCTTGTGGTGGCCATTTCCAAGGTTTCTAATCCACTCTCCCCCACTTGAAAGAAGCTCAGTGATGTCTTCGTCCGAGGACGCCCCCCGTCCTCTCCGCCCCGTCGACTCCGATCTTACTCTTTCCTTGGACTCGTCTGCTTCATCTACCTCAACTGTCACCTCTCCCCATGCCGCCCGCCATTCTGACTCTCGTTTGATTCACCCGAGGCCGAGCGATATGGACGAACACGAGAAAGATGATATCGCCCAGGGCCCATCAAACAGCGCCCTCGGCCAGTTCTCCTTCGCCCCAACCACTCGCACCACCGTCGTAACCACCACCACCACAACCACCACTGCATTTCCTCCTCTCATCTTCCGACCGCCACGCGCCACCAAGGATCTGGATACCCGGCAATACCCCCTCGCCGCCTCGCCAACCCCGGCCGCCTTGAGAAACCTCAGGTTCAAGATCGGCGATCAGTCCATTGTATTCAACGAGCCAGAAGATACCAACGCGACGGCAACCGAAGTACGTCTTTCCATCTCTATCTCTATCTCTACCTATCTACTTATTATTTTCCCTTCTCTCCTATCCCTCGCTCCCTGCCTTGTGCTCACATAATTCTAGTTGAGAGAAAAGAATGAGGCCCTACAAACCTCCAACGGCCTGATCCGCTCAATCAACTCTTTCAGCTCCGAAGACAATGGCGTACCGCGTCGCCTCGCTCCTCCACGATCGGTTACTCGGCTTCGTCAGCCCAACTCCCAAAATCGACCCGTCTCTCCAGTCTCTATTCCCGATCCCCGCCCGGCGATTTTGCCTCGTGCTCGCGCACCTCGAAATATTTCCGAACCTGTGGCACGGCGCACTCGTCATAGTGCCGCGACTCATCTTTCGCCGGCTGGTCTGGCCACCCCGGATGCTGAACACAACCCCGGTAGTCTCGAGGAAGGCCTGGCCCCGAGACAAAGGATGCAAAGCGTGACCATCCCTAGGAAAGAAACACTGCTGAAGTCTCCCCTCTCCGCCGATGCCGGGCCCTCGACTACTTCGCAACGCCCTAGTCTAACTTCAGTGCCATCAACTCAGACCGATGCCAGTGGGACTCATGTATCAGAGCCGTCTCCCTTTGAGCAACACTCTTTCGGTGGTTCTTCTGGGGACGCCTCCCAGCTGAGATCGGAACCCCAATCACAGCTATCGGCTATCGATAGTGCGATGGCTCAAGATATGTGCTTGCCCAGCCCCAGCCTGTCACCGGTTACCGCTATGAACGCTCTGCATGCAGAATCATCTTTCGATTCCGAAGATACGGATTCGAGCCTAGACCACAACATCCCCCGCCAGCCGAAGGCGCTACGTCTTTCCGGAGGTGATTCTTCGTCTCACGACCTTTCGATGCTCTCGTCTCGCTCTCCGTCATCTCTCATGGATATGCCCAAGGTGTTGGAATTCTTCGACGCCGTTCCTGAAGAGCTGAAAACATATATGATGTATCAGTTTCTTCGGCGTTGCCTTAAGCCCACGCTCCACTTTGTGGCCGATGTGGTGAATCCAACCCTCAAGTGCGACTTCCTCGCTCTCCTTCCCCTGGAGCTCAGCCTGAACATTGTAAAGTACTTTGATGTACAGACCATGTGTCGTGCTGCCCAGGTCTCCAAGAGATGGCGTCATATCATCAATTCCGATGAGAAGACTTGGAAGGAACTCTTGGACCAAGATGGGTTTGTTCTTTCAGAGGGCGAGCTAGAGCGAGCTATTCGTGAAGGATGGGGATGGCAGTGCAGCAGTCCAGATGATTTTGAAAGGGACCTCAGTCTCCCATCCTCGTCCAATGGAGAGTCAGAGATGTCCCCTGTCGCTTCTTCGTCTACTGCTGTCGATAGAGCGCCTCTGTCATCCCTGGCTCTAAACAGACGACCCAAGCGGAAAGCCAGTACTCGCGGGTCGATTCGGAAAGTGTCAAAGCGAAAGATTTCTTCCAGTGGAACGGATCATTCCGAGCCTGACTGGAAGAGAGAGATTGCTTCCTCCGAGGCTCCTTATGCTGCAGCAAACGCGGCCGCGGCTGCCATCTCGTACCCCGAAGTTGGCCTTCCCGCGCTCCGAGGCTTGTATCTCTACAAAGCCCTCTACCGCCGGCATCATGCCATCCGCAGAGGTTGGATGAAGCCGGCTGTCAAACCTCAGCACGTTGCCTTCCGTGCCCACGATCGTCACGTTGTTACTTGCTTGCAGTTCGATACAGACAAAATTCTCACGGGAAGTGATGACACGAACATCAATGTGTACGATACCAAGACTGGAGCTCTGAAGGCCACCCTCGAGGGCCATGAAGGTGGTGTTTGGGCACTCGAGTATCACGGCAATACCTTGGTCTCTGGGTCCACAGATCGTTCTGTGCGAGTTTGGGACATCGAGCACGCTCGATGCACTCAGGTTTTCCATGGCCACACCTCGACCGTCCGCTGCCTTCAAATCGTCCTTCCCACTGAGATAGGTAAAGATGCGAATGGCGAGCCTGAGATCATGCCCAAAACGCCATTGATCATCACTGGATCTCGTGATTCGAACTTGCGAGTCTGGAAGCTTCCCAAACAAGGCGATCCGTCCTACTACCCGAGTGGGCCGGTACTAGATGACACTGATTGCCCTTACTTCCTCCGTGTACTTTCCGGCCACACCCATTCCGTTCGAGCAATCGCAGCTCACGGTGATACTTTGGTCAGTGGAAGCTACGATTGCACCGTCAGGGTGTGGAAGATTTCCACCGGACAGGTCTTGTATACATTACAAGGCCATTCAATGAAGGTGTATAGCGTGGTGCTAGATCCAAAACGCAACCGCTGCATCAGTGGTGCGATGGACCACATGGTCAAAGTGTGGTCCCTGGATGATGGCTCTCTGCTCTACAATCTTGAAGGCCACACATCTCTCGTCGGCCTTCTTGCTTTGCAAAATGACCACCTTGTCTCGGCTGCCGCCGACTCCACACTCCGTATTTGGGACCCCGAACACGGCCACTGCAAGAGCATGCTCAGCGCGCACACTGGGGCGATCACATGTTTCCAGCATGATGGACAGAAGGTCATTTCTGGATCAGATCGTACCTTGAAGATGTGGGATGTCGGCACTGGTGCTTGTGTTCGAGATCTCCTGACCGATCTTAGCGGCGTTTGGCAAGTCAAATTCAACGACCGACGATGTGTTGCTGCTGTTCAACGTGATAGTCTGACCTACATCGAGGTAAGTTACTCATTGATCTGATAAAATCCAATCTTGTTCTAACATACTCTTAGGTTCTTGACTTCGGTGCTTCTCGAGACGGCGTGCCCGAAAGCAAACTCGGCAAACGTGTAGTGGTAAACCGCCGCGGTCGAGAAATTGCCCCCACTAGCATCGACTCCGACTCCGAATCGGATTGATTCAAATCGGTGTCATCTCATGACTGAAATGTCGCTTTCCTTTGTTTCTCCTCCTCGTACTCTTCCCCTCCCCGCCCATCCCTCTCCAATCATCTACTCCATCTCATATTCCCCTATCCTCATATTCCCTTATTACCCGGCTCCTGGACTTTTTGACACCCTTACTCATTCACGATACCCATCCTTATGGCACTTAACTATTTGTCTCCCCTTCTCAAACCCTTTGCATAGCGCGGTCGGCATTCTTCGGTCATCCAGCATTACGATGGAGGATAGGCGTTAGACGTTTTCTGATTCTTGGGGGTTTCCTATTTTCATTACTTCGTT